TAAGCCAGAGAAAAGCAGCTTGAGGAAGTTGGCCACCTTGTACTCATACCTTGAGCGAGGTGTCCAGGGTGTCCACATTGCTCCTCTACTCTGCTCTCATGAGACCTCACCTGCAGCACTGTGTGCAGTTCTGGTGTCCTCAGCATAAAAAGGACATGGAACTGTTGGAACAAGTCCAGAGGAGGCCACAAGGATGATCAGAGGCTGGAGCACCTCCTGTATGGAGACAGCTGAGAACATTGGGGCTGTTCAGCCTGGAGAAGAGAAGGCTGCGTGGAGACCTCAGAGCAGCCTTCCAATATCTGAAGGGGGCCTATAGGGATGCTGGGGAGGGACTCTTCATTAGGGACTGTAGTGATAGGACAAGAGAGAATGGGTTTAAACTGAAACGGGAGATTTAGGTTCGATATAATGAAGTCTTCACTGTGGTGTGGTGAGGCACTGGAGCAGGTTGCCCAAGGAAGTTGTGAATGTGTGAGTATATGGAGTTATTATGGGGGAGGCTTAAAGAAGAGTCAAAACCAGACCAAATTAGTGAGTGGAGAGAACCACACAGCACAGAGAGTATTTCAGGAAGAGGTCATTCTGAGAGGAAATCTGTAGAGACTTTGGATACAAACCCAGCACTGAGCAGAGCAGAGCTGTCAGAGCTCTGACAGGTGACAAAATTAAGGTCATGAATGCAGGAAGCAGAAAGCTCTGCAGGTCAGTAACATGATATAAGGAAGTCATACAAATACATAACACTTCCTGGCTTTAATAGTATTTCCTATGCTTGATATAAAGACCAAAAATAAAGCCAGCTATAGATAAGTTAGGAAGATATGTGGAAAATTACAAAATAAGGAGGTTTTTGGCTTCTTTTTTAGAGCACAAAGACTGAAACTTAAGTTTGCAAACAAGCTGCTTGCCTGAGCGGAGCAGGTACACGACAAAGCTGGATAAATGCATCTTGATAGACAAGAACCAATTCTCCTGCAGAATTTACAGTTCTAAATGCTGAAATAATTAATGTTTTCATTCATTTCCAGCAGCAAAATATTTCATTTGGCTGCAAATAGCTGAGCCTGAACTGCTCAAAATGGGTTTATACAGGAGGGAATGATAATAACATGGAGTCTGTCATATGGACTAGAACTAAGATGTTTTTTCTCTCGAGATCTATCTTAAATAGGAATTGATTATGAAAAACATCACTCTCTTCAGCAAGGTTCTTTAAAAACAATTCATCTTTCACATCAAGTGCTTCTTGAGAGCTCCCCTGCAAGAATCACTTCTGAAAGAAGGAAAAATGAACTGTGCCGCTGCCAGAGCTGAAATGCCGTTTTCTGTCCCCCCCCCCAGCTTAGAATCACAGAATAGTTAGGGTTGGAAAGGACCTTAAGATCATCCAGTTCCAACCCCCTGCCATGGACAGGGACACCTCACACTAAGCCATGACACCCAAGGCTCTGTCCAACCTGGCCTTGAAGACTGCCAGGGATGGGAGCATTCACAACCTCCCTGGGCAACCCATTCCAGTGCCTCACCAACCTAACAGGAAAGAACTTCTTCCTTATATCCAATCTAAACTTCCCCTGTTTCAGTTTTAACCCATTACCCCTTGTCCTATCACTACAGTCCCTAATGAAGAGTCCCTCCCCAGCATCCCTATAGGCCCCCTTCAGATACTGGAAGCTGCTCTGAGGTCTCCACGCAGCCTTCTCTTCTCCAGGCTGAACAGCCCCAACTTTCTCAGCCTGTCTCCCTACAGGAGGTGATCCAGCCCCTGAGCATCCTCGTGGCCCTCCTCTGGTACAAACCTACTATAATATATGCCAGGTTCTGCCCAGATTTACATGCCACTTTACATAAGATTTAGAGAGCTCTTAAGGAAGAGTCAACTTCAGTCTGGGATTCATTGTACTCCTGAAAACATTTATGTGGTGGGGAATTCACAATCGACTGATATCCCCATTTTAGCACAACCAAACCCATGACGTTTCAGGGTATTTCTAAGGAGCTAGGATTTGGTTTGGGGACAGCATTATCCTTTTGATAAGGTTTATAATGTGGCTCCTTTGTTTTATAAGGTAAACTCAAAACAATTTGTAGCATAAATGTTGAAATAAGGGTTGGACATAGGGGCTCGGAGCAAGCTGCTCTAGTGGAAGGTGTCCCTGCCCATCGCAGGGGTTGGAACTGGATGAGCTTTAAGGCCCCTTCCAACCCAAACCAGTCTGGAAGTCTAGGATACAGTCAGCTAAATAAATGGGTTTACATCAATAGATGTTTTTGTTTCAGCAGTCTGTGTTGGGGTTCCTGGCTGACACCCCATCCTCCCAGGCCGTGTAGATGGGAGAGAAGTGAGACTGGGAGCCCTCAAAGAGCATTTCACCACAAAAAGGAGGAGGAGAAGTAGTATTTCTAGTTTTCAGTAACTTCACAGCACATCTACTGTAATCCTCAAGGCCCCCCTAAACAGAAGGGAAAACTTTATGCTATCCCATTCCTATTTCTCTTTTGCAATGTGTCCTTTTTTCGACCTTCCTCTTTCCCTTGCGGTGCAAGAACTGTGGAGATCCAATTGAAGCGTTTGTTTTACATCTGAATGTGATAAATTAAGCATCAGATGTGGGTTTAATTGAAATCTTTTGTCATCACAATTAATAACTAATTGCTTTTCTCTTCCCATTTTTAGTGTGGAACTGGATTTTAAACAGCAAGAAGATAAACTACAGCCAGTTTTGAGAAAACTTCATCCTATTGAGGAAACTCAGGTTGCACCTTTGCCTTATTCTCAGGAGAGCTACTCCTCCACTCCCAAGCAAAAATCCAAAACTGAATCAAAAAAGCATGGAAGATGGAAACTCTGGTTCCTTTAACCCAAGTCCATGTGGAGTTCAAGGCCTTCTTTGACAAACACTTGGAGTTCTATCAATCCTTGATAAATGGGATCATGGTAGACTGAGCAGTTACTGGCCAACGTGGTTCTGACCGTTGTGGTGACATCCAGTTCTCACCCTGTGTACCAGAAAGGCCTTTGTACCTATAGACTCCTGTCCAGAAGCAAGGTGTTAAGAGAACCCCTTGCCTAATCCCTTGCCAACTTTGATTTGCAGTTCACCAATGTGGGATGTAAAACCTGAATTGAAATTTGTACAAAGGTGGAAAGTAAAACTATTCCCCCCCCTTCTCCTTAGATCTGAAAGCGTCACATTCTAACCTGGTAAATTGTAGGCTGTCATCCTGTACACAGCTCAATATCACTGTTGTTTTCAAGCCTTTGGGGGGTTTGGTTTATTGTCTTTAAACGACAACAAGGGGAGGAAATAACAAAGCAAGCCTTATGTTTGCAGTGGTCTTCAGTTTTACAAATCCATGTTGATCGGGGAGTGCAGTTTTCAGCACATTTATCCTGGACAAAGCACAATTTTTCATGTGGTCCAAGACCATGACTAGTCTCTAAGATGTGACTCCGTGTGTCTCTGCCTTCATGCGATGTAGACTTCAACTAAGGTACCACATCAACAGCACGCCATCATTTCTTATTTAGCTCTGCCCTCATCACCAGAGGAACACATCTGCTGCTCATCTTCAAGGGGTGAGCAGCCAGAAACCTCCCAAGGTCAGGAGAAGCCCTTAACCACATCACAGGGTCATGGCTATGGGACAACCATCTGTCCTAGAGCTCACTTCTAAGTCTTTCGGTACCCAAAAATGTCTAAATGACACATTCTGACTCATTAACAAACCTAACCCCACAAAGAGAACAACCAAAAGCTCTACAGATTGTTGGCACTTGCCCTAATTTAGTATCTTTTTGTAATGCAGCCTTTGGAAAACCTCTACAACACTGCAGAAGGCACCAGAGAATTTATAGCGTGCATCATGCTTTGGAACCAGTTTGGAAGGAGCCGTAAATTTTAGACGCTATTTATTTGCTAAGCTTTTCAGATGGGTTTTCCAACACATCGTAATTTATCTTTCAATCCATTAACTGTACTTGCTAACCAACACACTTAGGGAAGAGATGGGGATCCATCTTTTTTCCTCATTTGGGGGGATTTTTCCTGAAAATTACACGTTAAATTCTGCTCTGAATTATAAAACCGCAATTTTTTCCTCCAAGTATTTGCTATTGTCATTAAAATTCCATCTGGCATTATGGAAAAAGTTCCATCTGTGGAAAAATTTCCCATGCTAGAAGTGGCCAGGGAATGGGAATCATCTTCTGTATTTTTAAGGATTTAAGACCATTTGAGTCACAGTGTCATGGGCCAAACTGGTTTACTAGGAATTGGTTTAAAATCACATAGCCTGCAGCATCACTAAGACACAGACTCTTCAGTCTTTAGGTAGGAGAAGAGTAATCATGAGCAGAAGAGTTTGCACATACCGAAACATTGGAGGTGTTTTGGTTCACCCTGTTTCTCCTCTTAGCTCAGCATCAAATCCATTAAGGAATATCACTTGCTTCCCCCCACCCCACCCCAAAGCAAAGAGAAGGAAGTAAAAATGGGAACAGAAGTGTGGAAGCAGCCTATGTCCAGCTCCAAATTAATCTCAGCATGCTTTAATGGAATAAGGTCACCTTTACAGGTAACCTTCAAGAGGGCTACAAGTTCTTGTACATAGCAACCAAAATCCCCACGTATTTTTGTGAAAGCTGAAGGATTAGGAAGGGGATCCTGTGGACCAGGATGGAAGTGCAATTGTTTCCATGTGGAAAAGAAATATGTGTTTCATGTACTTTATATTGTTTATAACCGGAAATGTTTCAGAGTTTACACAACAGCTCATCCAACATGCTTTAGAACCCCAAATATTTCCTAAACAGAATATATTTTTTCCTAAACAGAAAGAAATAGCAAATATGGACATAAAACTATAACAGTATTCAGTCTTATTTTTAAATAGTGCTAGAATTCATGAACTCATCCATGCGAAAACACCTAAATTGGGTTTTCTTTTAATCAAATCAGTGCATCCCTCAATGGCAATCAGTTACAGATTACAAGTGTCACTGAATCAGTAGCTTTTCCCCATAAGCCTGTTCTGAATGTTCTGGTGTGACACAAAACTGAACTGGTTTTATGTTACTGACTCACACAGAGACCAGTGTTCTGCAACCCCTTCAAAGGACAGTGGAGAAGTCACTGGTGAAGCGTCTCAAGAGCTCAAAGTGGAAGTTCTTACAGCGTGTTCTCTGCATGGGCAGGTTATTTTCTTACCAAGTTGCAGATTTTTAGTTTTATACATGTTTTTAAGACTGGGAAAGCCAACATCCATCTAGAGCCTTGCTTTTCACAGTGGCATCTCGGGTCCGGTCCTACCATCCCACGGGATTTGTAATAAAACCTTTTTGCAAGTGTGGAAACCGCATCATCTTGTATTACCTTTAGAATCACTCCGGCTCAGGTTAGACAGACACTGAAAGAAAACCCCTCATTCTTTAGAGCTTTTAGTTCCATGTGACTGACAAAGCTATTCTCACCCTAACGTAGGAGACCTTACAAAGTGCAGGTAGGAGGTTACAGCGAAGAAAATGCACCTTTACCTTCCACGTGGCACATAACGTCGCTTTGCCGAGTTCACTGACGACGCCATGCACTCCATACACTGATTTGCTATATGCACCTCTCCCATCTCATGCTTAATGATGATTTCTAGTCAATAAATACTGCAGTGATTTTCTATTACTTGCTATTTCCTGAGTCCGTATGATTTCCATTAAGCGGCAGTTACGTTCTTGGGTTTAGAGCTATTAGGAAACACTATTCCTGTGGGGTAGCACTTGTTTTCTTCAAGACAGAAAAAGTCACTGTAAAAATAGTTTAAAAATCAGGATAAACTGAAACAAAATCATGATTAAAACTGGAAAACCCTACCATTGGTACAAAGTGTTTGCTTTTTCTTGCTTAAGATGCAAAACCACCGACAATGCCTTTTAATTACACTATGTTTTAAAGGTTAATCCCTGCTTCAAAATCTAATAGGTCCATTTTTCATGAACACCTTCAAATCAAGTAGGCTGTTAGGTTGCACCATTTCTTTAGCAGCTGTAAAATAGCAGGGATTCTATATTACTAATGGGATTCGTTAACTGGATTGCCACTAAAAATATGACTGCTACACCAACACCATTCTGCTCCCATAGCCTGAAACAGACTGCATGGAACAGTTTTCAGGATGATCTCAGCATCCATAAAATACACCTGTGGCTTATTAAAAATAACTGGAGTGCCAGAAATTTGCTGTCCATTTGTGGAGGTGAATGCAGTTTGTTCTGATGAACATGAGCAGGGCACACTCCATACCCACTCACTGCGTGAGTGATAATAGAAAAGCTCAGTGTTAGTGATGGAACAAAAGCACTGCCATCATTCAGGTGCCACTTCCACTTTTGTGAAATGAAGGTTGCAATACATAATTTCAGATGGTTTTGATAAGAAATAATGAAATTCACTAAAACAAACTGTCCATTTTTACACCAGAGGTCTGGGGAAGAAAATGAGGCTCCCTCCAATACTTTGGAACCCACTGACCCCAAACCTCACAGATTTCAGGCACAGAAAGACAACTTGCACACAGCTTCAACTCCTAGATAACTTCAGCCCCAGAAATCTCTTCAATAACCATCAATAACTCATATTTTACTTAGACCTAGACTTGTATTTTACTGCCTTTCAGAAACGCATCCTGCCAGGAAGATGACAAGGGATGGAGAATCCTCCACTGCCTTTGATTGATCACTCCAGTGTTCACTTCCCACATCAGTGCCCTGTTCTCTGCTCTGCTTTACACTTGTCACTCTCCAGTGCCGCCACCATCTCCTCTTTCCTTTGACAGCTACAAACTTCACCCTACATGGATTCTCCTTCACTATCACCAAGGGGCATCTCTAAACCTTCCAGGCTCAGATCTCACCACAAACCCCTTTCTCTCTGATGACTTCAGTAGCATTTCTGGTTTGGGTTCATCACGTCTTTGTTTTAAAGTGTAGAGGAGGGGAAAGAAGCAATATGGGAAACACTCCACTCATCAGTGAGTCAGGAAGTCCTCTCCTGACCACTGCTTCAGGCGCACATCCTGAGACTATCTAAAACCCACGTTTTATCACTGATCACAGGAGGTGTTCACACTTTGTTTGCCATAAACCACTGTGTGCTCTTCAGAGCTGCTTTTACTAGGGACAGAGCGTCCTGGGAGTCAGGCCACTTCCTACCTTCTTTGTTCTTCCATCTGAGAGCTGGATTGTTTCATCTTTATCAAAATGGACTTTGGTTTGTTCAAGCACACAAAGGAACCAAGTTGGTGTGTTTAACAGTGATCAGAGGGTTGCACAGCTCTGCCAACTGAAGCGTCTTCCAAAAACTACACACACAGGGATCCCAACCCCTCATCTGGATGTCCTTTCTCAAATTAAAGAGCTCAGAAACCAGCTTGTTTTGCTTGGCTTTGGAAGTGAAAAACATGCCAAGCTGATGGCCACAAGGAAGTAGGGAGCAGCTGTGATTCATTTTGGACCTACCATCATAGCCGGTCAATTCTGATTTACCGAAGAAGGGCAATATGCCGACTCGCGTGGAACACAGCATTCTGCAGAAGTTACTAGGCAAGGAAAGAGATGGTTTGAAATCATCCTTCAAGAAAGATTCAAGGAGTTATGCTCAGTTTAGGGGGTTTCCAGGTAGTATTACATTAGGAAAAGCTCTTCCCTGTGAGGGTGCTGAGGCGCTGGCACAGGGTGCCCAGAGAAGCTGTGGCTGCCCCATCCCTGGCAGTGTTCAAGGCCAGCTTGGACACAGGAGCTTGGAGCAAGCTGCTCCAGTGGAAGGTGTCCCTGCCCGTGGCAGGGGTTGGAACTGGGTGAGCTTTAAGGTCCCTTCCAACACAAACCATTCCAGGATTTCAAGATTCTAAACACATTCAGTAGGAGACATTCTGTGGCCCGGTTATAGGCGACTTCTTACTGCACCACAAGTTCCAGGGATGTGCAGAAGTAGCCCAACAGCCAACTGATGTGAGCAGCAACTAACCCCAACCTCACATCAGACACCTTGGCACCCAGAGGCTACATCTAGTTAACTACAACACTGCGTAGAACCTTCTACTCAGCCCGTAAATGGATCAAGTCAAAATCACATGTGAGGCTTGCAGAGGAAAAAGCAGCCAGAAATAATGGGTATTAAAAGGGTGACAAGGTTTTTTCTTGCATGTTAAAGACTCATTTGATACGGCAGCCGGAAGACTGATGTTAATCCCCAAAGATACAAGTTCACTGCTTTCATTGAAACGACCTGCGTAAGTGGCCAGACTCTGCTTAATCTTCATTAATACACTGGTGATACTGAGGTTTGGATCTTTAATAAGTTCTTAAGGCTAAAAGAGAGCAAGCAGTATCACAGATGTTCACTTAAAGTCTTCTTGCTACCAACTCCTACCAAAATCAGGGTAAAATCAGGTTTTAATCTCTCACTTATACTCTATGTATTGGCTACGTTTGCTCCTTACAAGTGGTCTTTGAAGATAATGCTCTTTGAAGGTGTATGATAAAAACACCTTGTGGGTTTTATCTAGAAACACATTTAAGGAAGCAAATACGTAAAGAAAAGTGTACTAAGTCAAAAGGCACTACTGGAGAATCTTTCCAAGTCTGTTCAACACTGCAGGAAAAGGCACCTCCTGCAATTAAACATGGAGAAGCTGCAATTTAAAGGTTTAACAGACAGAAACTTTGCCACCAATGTGGAATACGGCCTTGAAGAAGCTGAAGAGCAAAACCACTTAGATGGTCCTACCCAATGCCTCCCATATTCTGACTGAGATATAGGTGCCAGGTAAGTTACTCAAATCCTTTCTTATTTCCTGGACTAAGGTGGAACATTCGTTAACACAGGGAAGCAAATACATTGGAAACAGACTGTGGTGCTGGTACCGCCATTGCAGCCTTATGCTGACGGTCAGGGATTCAGTTCAACTCATTCATCTTTCATCAGTGCTCTTCCAAAGGGAAGTGACCTGGTAACAGCCACTCGGGATCAGCCGTACAGAGCCCTCCCCTTTGTTACAACGTACAGAAAGTCCTTTGAATTATTTATGGTAGCTTTAACAGCCTCTAACTGCACATCCTTCTGAAACCAATGTCACATCCCCGTTACACAGTGCATGTAGCGACCCCTCCTTCTGTTGTTAATGAACAGAAAGCACATCATATTTAAGGACTCCACCTCCTCTGCCTCCGTTCCAAGACCATTTTCTCTTGAGCACTTCAATTCTTTACAATCCTCCACTGATCACATCGAATTCCATCCTCTCAGAGACACCATCTCCCACTGACCTACCACACAGTCGGAAGCAACACCAATGGAAGTCACGCCAGCACCAAACTCAGGAGGGTATATAAAGACTATTATTAAAGCAGAAATCAAAATGATTGTACCAACAACTGTCTTTGGGATTTACAGAGATAAAATGTGAAAGTTCACCCATGCAAAATACCACAGTTGTTCTATAGGGATTAGAACTGAGGTTTATAAAGAATGCAAATCAAACAGGCTTGACTGCCACCATAAGGGGATTGTGAATGTGTCCCTATATTGCTGCCAAAGAGAAAAGAAGTCTTCTCTTGGTCAAAAAGGACTATGTCTTCCATTTGTTTGAGCTCTTCAAAGCAGGATGCTCAGAGGAATGCTTCCAGAGCTCAGCTGAAAGCTTAATCTTTATATATATATATATACACACACAGGAATAAATGCCAATTCTCACCATTTCTGATCCAAGGTAGGTTTTTAATATTTAAAGTGTATTATGCAACTACAGTTTTGGATGCAGATGCCCTAAGCTCAGTATTTCAAGGTGAAAACACTCCCGCTTTGGTACACCTCTATAGCTATATTTATGTAAGGAACAATTTGCTATGTCCTGTATCTTACCTCTTTTGACAAGGTTATCCTTGCTTGAACTATGCCTCTGTAAGATCCTTTATTTGTAACATTCTTTCCTCCTACTTCTCCTCTATGGTTCATTCCCTGATATAAGCTCCAGGTAAAACTCTGCTAGCATTGACAGAAGGAAATTAATGCATAAATTCAATCTGATTCTGATCCAAGAGGGGTCAGGCTCTTGCTTGCTCATTGTCAGTCCATTTACTCCCCCTACTATGCTGACACTACAAATATGAAGTGGTACCTGTTGATCACAGGGCATCCTTTCAACCACAGACTGAATTTTAAGCTAGGAGTAAGTACTCATGGCAACTACCCAGCCCCATTAACACTCATCCCATAATTACAGAGTATGTAGATAGAGGGAGTTCGAGCTGTATTCATGAGCACTACGGATAGTCTTAATTACAACTGCACTTAGTTAAAACATACACAGGATTTTATCAAATATAATTTGATAAATGCAAAAGGAATAATTAAAGTTGTTAAATATCATCTAAGGCACATTCATCAAAACAGTAATTATTCACATTCATGCTGTAACTGAAGAAGTTTCCTGTGGGTATGGCTTCGAAGACTAATCCTTCTGCGCTACTTCCAACCCAACCCAAGCCAAACTGAGGGAAGTGGTAAAGTCTTGTACCCTTATACAGAATAAATGTATCTATTCTGCATATTATTAATAATTCCTGTGGTAACACACAAAGTCACAATAACATAAACCTTGTGACTTCCTTTCACTGTTTGCATCCCAGCACTAGAATATTCTGTAGGAATGATCTCTATTTATCACCATTTCTTGCTCCATCAATAGCCTTGGTGATCCGTTATCACCTTCTCACAGTAAAAACCATCAGTACAAATCAAATTGATGCCTGAAGACGAAAGTGAAGTTAGTGGGTGACGCACTAAAGACAAAAATAAGACTTCAGGATGTTTG